GTCCTATGCGGAGAAGAGGTGTCAGACTCATAGTCGACCACATCCTCAACGAGGCCTCTCGGCATTGAAAGCGTGCGCGGAGCGCGACGTTTGTGCTCATCAAGCCTAGGATAGACATCCCCCGGTGTCGCGGACGCACTGTCCGACATCGCACTGTCCGACATCGCACTGCGTGCGGGGGACGAAATTAGGCTCTGCCCGTGCTCGCTGTCAGAACCAGCGAGACTTGATGATTTCCGTGTCGTGGACACAGGGCTCATTGAGCAAGAAAGTTGTTAAATTCCAATAAATTGAAATGGAGTGTCTAACGGACGCGCAAGCCTCGTTGAAGCAACAATCGATTGGAACTGTGAATGCTCTCTATCTTAATGGGGGAGGGTGAAATAGGGGTTACACGAACCTTGATAACAAGGGAGGTATGTCACACGAGATGTGCATGGTGTGACCACACCCAAACAAGAACACGGTATGGGGCTAGATAGCCAGTAGTTATGCATGTATTTGGATTTTACTATATATTCAATATATTTAGGAAAATCGAAACTTTTAAATTTGGAAAAAAATCAAAATCAGTTTGGAAAATATAACCGAAGATTCAATTAGCCTTGGAAAAGAAATAATTACTCTTGGAGTAAGTGGATTGCGATCCGCTAACACATACTTGGTGCCTGTAAAGAGCGAAAGGTCGCTGACCTAAAGTACGCTTCCTCAAGCGCTTAGCTACGGCAGCCCCGCTGTATAGAACAAGTACGAGTTCAGCGTATAGCAATCCGCTTACTCCAAGAGTAATTTTTGTCTTAACCCAGGGCTAATTAACTCTTCCGTTTAAATAAAAAACTGACTTTTTCTATATGTTTATATGCGGCAAAAGGCCGCCTGATTATAAATGTAGAGAATTTCTATAGTAAAATCTAAATACATGCATAACTACTGGCTATTAAACCACGTACCGTATTCTGGTTGCGGTCACACCATGCCCATCTCGTGTGACACACACCCCTGTTGCCAGGGTACATGTCACCCCATTACAATTTGCCTCAGGCGACGAAGTCGATGGCAGCAAAGTGACGCCCTTGGTGACAATACAGAGCAAAGATTTGCCTATTCAGGGAAGCATGGTGTAATGGTTGTAGATTGAAGCAAGGCATGGATTTACAATGGATTACTGATTTTATGGATGGAGCCATGCAAGGGATTTTTGCAGGGACTACATTTCGAATGATGTCGAAAACTGTATAACCATAAGAAAGTATTACAGCTGGTATTTCTAGAGGAATGAGGTCATGTGCTTAAGCTGGCAAAGTCAAAATCTACAATTCATTTACAGGTACCCTGTCACCTTTAATTGAGGGTTGGATGAAATCTGGCAACATTGACCGTACTTCGAAACCTCCGAAAGCATATATAACTTGCAAAATTGGCTGGCGGCGAGATGTCCCCGAAAACGCGATTTGAAAATCTTGTCTCCAGGCACGGCTTTCATAACAATCTCAGAAAATGGCCAATTTTCCCGGCACGATATTAATGGGTTGCGATTCATAGAACTACAGATAGCAGCAAACCAAAATGAATTTGTGGAGAAAATTGAAATACAAGACCACGAAGTCGAGGCTTTTTGCTTTTGGACAACGGGAGTTAGAGCACCCTTTTCCTTTTCTTTAGTATGGGTACAACACCATTACGACGACTATTACAAATTACGACAACGGATATGGCGACAAAAGCTCAAGCGATGGCCCCGACTTCTACTCGTTATACAGATATATATGATTAGAAACGACACCCCTTTTTAGGAGTCGTGTAAGCCATGTCAAGCATGTGCTGTAGGGTTTTATTCATTACACTCTAACCCCCCTCTACCCGGCCCGGGGATTGAACCCTATCGTAATACAGATAGATATGATTACCCTTTTAAGGAGTCGTGTAAGCCATGTCAAGCACGTGCTGTAGGGTTTTATTCATTACACTCT